AAATAAAGGTTTGAATTTAAATATTGGATGTTGTTAGTTTTATACATATGAGTTCATGTTGGGTTAGTTCAAACGTTCCAACTCAGCCTCTAATAACAAATAGCATTTTTTTACAGAATTTGTTCATGTTTTTTTATCTAGGTGGAGCTAGATTTTCGACTTTAAAAAAATGGGAAATGAAGCAAGTTTCTACCCTGCATTTCTGAGCATGGTGATTTCGGGTGAAGAAGTCTCTAAAAATATCTCCTGAATAGTGTCAGCTAGTTTTCTCAGTTGATGAGTGGTTTAAAAAAAAGATATTTCACTTTTCAATAGCTGTAAAATTTATACTTCTCAAAACATGTTCAGCGTCATTTTTAGAGATGTAATGATCCACCTAGTAATAGTAATTTCTGATGTCAGATAAGAATAAGCCGTTCAAGTATTTCCTTAGCATGTTCGCAGAATTACAAGGCTTACTATTTAATGAAGAAGTTAGCACCTTGGCATGTTTATATCTAGATTCCCTTTATAATTTTTTTCAATTATATCAGTACTATAATCTATAGAACTTTGTTCTGTTTCGGTTTCATCTTCGATCTTTCTTTTTTTTTATCGTGACTTTAACTTCTTAATTTTCTGGTGGGCCATAATAAGTAGATGTATCAAAAATGTAGTCGATACCTGGGCGTTTTTGGTTTTTTTCCCAGCTCATCGTCGTTGATGTGAGGAACCGTATTTTACCTAAGTTTCTTCTTGTTCGTTATCGTTTTGTTTTTATTTGTCTATCTGCTATATTATGCCAGTCCAAGCTGATTTTGCTGTAGTAGAAATTTCTTCAAAAATTTATGTTTTTCTTTTTCTTAGTTATTTTTTGGAATTAACTGTAATTGTGTCTTGTATGTTTTATATCGGTTAGTAAGATAATCTCCAACTGAGAAAAAGGCATTGTTGTTATGGTGGTGTCTTGCTGAAAGAGTTTCTGATGGAAGGTTAACGTTTTCTTCTCCTGTTATTTCTATCACACTGAAAACAAACAAAAAACAATAGTACATCTGTTGGTGGTATTTTGTTTAAGATTTAAGTCATTCTTAGTTGAAGTAAAAAGTACTGTTGATGAATTGCAGAATTTTGTGCGTCTGCTTCTTCATTTTATGTTATCCGGAGAATAAAATGTAGCCGGAAACCTTGTAAGTTTCGTATTCGTTTTTAGTTTTTCTTCGTTACTAAAATGCTGTACTGTAGTTGTACCTTCTATGATTTCCGGCTTCTCTCCCAGTTCACTATTATTAGAAACAGGAGCAGTTATAGGCGGTTTCTTTGAGGTTTTAAAACTTTAGGAAAATTCATCTTTTGTGTAGGTAAAATAGATGACATTTGGAATATATTAGCTTCTAGCTTTTCTTTTTGATTGGTCCTCAAAGACATCCAACTGAATTAGGTACTCGATTTTAGTAGAAATAAAAGGAACTGTAGTTGATTATTCTGCGTTTCTGTTTACTTATGTTGCTTCGTGATCTGTAGAAGCGAAATATTCTACCTTTGTTCTTTCAGTGACCTCCTGGCTATTTGTTTGTCTACTATGAGTAGACAGAAATAAAACTGTGGTTGGTTTCCCTGTTGTGTTTCGTCTATCTACTTGTTCGTCTGTAGTATAGTTAAACGAAGTTGTAGTCGATCTTTTTGTTGGCCCATGATTAGTAGAGTCGAGGGAACCGAAGAGAATAGAAGATACTGTATCTAAGCTTTCTTGTTTTTCTGTTCGTACATTTTCAGTAAACCCAGAAAAGAATGAAGGAACTGTCTTTGGCCCCTGTGGGTAGTCTTGACTATTTGTTAATTCATCTTTGGTAGAGACAGAGAAAAATGAACTTGATTTTTCCGCGTTTTTTTTCTTTTCTTTTCGATATCTGTTTTTTCGTCTTCATTAGGAACAAATGGATGTATAGTTGACCATTCTGTAGGGAAGTTTTGTTCCTCTGATTTTTCAAGTGCAGAAGAAAACTTCTTCATATTCGGAATCTTTGTTCTTCCCTGTTTATCTTTTAGTGTATTTTCGGCAGAGAAAAAGGAAGTGGGGGTTGATGACTCTGTTTTCATTTGTCTTTCTTCCAAATTATTTTCAGTATACACGGAGATAATTGTATTAACGGCTGCTTTTAATGACTTCTGTTCATCATGCTTAGGGGAAAAAAATATTATAGATGACCCTTGTGTGTTTCCTGTTTCTCTGTTAGCTCGGTTTGATCAGTGACAATTCCGGTTGTTGATGGTCCATCTAATACTTCTTGCTTGTTTTCTAAATTATCTACGTTAAACTCAGAAAGCACCATACTTATTCCATCCGTTTCTTGTGATTCTATTAGGCCATCCATAATAGAAGCAGAAGGAGCTGGAACTATTCCAGCTGACTTTCATTGATTTTCTGCTGGTTCAAAGGTAAGAGAAACCAAGACTGTTCCGAGTGTAGGTTTTTATTTTCTGTGAAATTTGAAAGAATTGAAACTGTTCCATTCGTTCTTTGATGTGTATCTATTAGGTCATCTAAAGAAGAAATAGAAGGATCTGTAGTTCGTATATATGTCATTTCTTGTTTTTCTGTTAGGCCATCTGCAGTAGCAGTAGAAGAAACTGTAAAGAGTGCATCTGATGATTCTTCTTTTACTATTAGGTCACCCGCAGTAGTAGTATAAGGAATTATTGTTGGAACAGTCATGGTTTCTTGTATTTTTATTTTATTAACCACATTCCTCATTTAATCTTTATTTGTTAGGTTATTCACAGTATAGAAATAAGGAAATGTTGTTAATTTGCTTGAAACTTCCTGCCTTTTTAATTGATCGTTCACGGTAGATCCAGAAGGAACTGTTTTTTGTAAATCCGTCATTTCTTGTCGTTCTGTTAAATCATCCACTGTAGAAAACATAGTAATTTTAGTTAAACTTTGCGATTTCTTGCTTTTCTGTTAACCCATTCGTTGTAGGGTTAAAAGAAACTGTGTTTGATAGGTCCAACGTTTCTTCTCATCTTGTTTAGTCCTCCAGAGTAGAAGAAGAAGCTAATGGAATTGATACACTTGTTGTTTCTTGCCTTTCTGCCAAATCATTTACTATAGTTTGTTTGTTTGTTTGTTTTTAATTATGCACAAAGCTACACAAGGGCTATCTGTGCTCTGCCCACCACGGGTATCGAAACCCGGTTTCTAGCGTTGTAAGTCCGCAGACATACCGCTGTGCCACTGGGGGGCCATTCACTATAGAGGTAGGAAGAACTGCAGTTGGTACATCCGATGTTTCTGTTCTTCCTTTTAGGTAATCCGAAATAGAAGAAAATTTAACTCTATAGGGTTCTCCAGTTGTTACTTGATATTCTGTCACGCCATTTATTGTAGAAACAAAAGAAACTATAACAGAGGACTCAGACGTTGGCTGTGTATCTTTTTGGTCATTTACAGTAAAAGAAGGATATGTGGTTTTTCTATCTGATGAACCTAGACTTTCTGTTAATTCATCAACCATATGACCAGAAGAAATTGTAATAGATCTGCCCGTATCTTCTTTTCTTTTCGCTAAGTCATAAACCTTAGATGTAGATGGAACTGTAGTAGATACTTCCTCTATGTTTTGTATTTCTGTTAAGTTTTCAACGGTAGGTGGAACCATGGATGGTATATCTGTCATTTTTTGTCTTTCTATTAACTTATCAAGAGCAGATATAATTGGAACATCATTTGGTATATTCTTGTTTCTTGTTTTTCTGTTGTTTCACCAAAAGCAGAGGTAAATGGAACTCTAAATAGCACATCCGACGTGTCTTGTCTTTCTGTTAGGTTATCAGATGGAACACTAGAGAGCACATCTGTTGTTTCTTGTCTTTCTGTCAAGCCATTAACGGTGGAGGCATTTAGAACACCAGATGGCATAACTGTCATTTCTTGTATCTTTGTCAAGTCTTCAACAGTGATGGCACTTGTAACACTAGATGCCTCACCTATTGCTTCTTGTTATTCTGTCAATTCGTCAACAGTAGACATAAGTGGAATATTAGATGGCAAATCTGTTGTTTCTTGTCTTTCTCTAAAGCTATTAACAATGGAGATAGTTGGAACATTTGGTAGTTCATCTATCATTTCTTGTCTCTCTGTCAAGACTTCAACAGTGATGGTAGTTGTAAAACTAGATGCCTCACCTATTGCCTTTTGTCTTTCTGTCAAGGTAGTTGCATACTTATCGTTTCGTACCTTTCTGTCAAGCTATTAACCTCAGAGATTTTTGGAACTGTAAATGGTATATCTGTCGTTTCTTGTCTCACTATTAAATTATCACCAGTAGAAATGGTTGGAGTTGTAGATGGCACATCCGTTGTTTTCTGTCCTTTTATGAAGTTATAAAGAGTAGAGATATTCATACCGTTATCTGATATATCAATCGCTTCTTGTTTTTCTGCAAAGTTATCGATAGTAGAGATAGTCGAAACATTATTTGATATATCAGTCTCTTCTTGTCTTTCTGCAAAGTTATAGATAGTAGAGATAGTCGGAACATTATCTGATATATCAATCGCTTCCTGTTTTTCTGTAAAGTTATCAGTAGTAGAGATAGATGGAAATGTAGACAGTTCACCCGTTGTTTCCTGTTTTCCTGTGAATGCATTAGCATTAAAGATAGTTGGAACCATAGACAATGGAATCGATACTTCTTGTCTTTGTGTTAGGTCTTCAACGGTAGGGGCGGAAAAAGCTGTTTCACTAATGTCTGTTATGTCTTTAACAAGTGAAATGGAAATAACTATGGGCGTTCCATCTGACTTTGAGACAGAATGATGTGTGAATGATCCATCCCCAGTATAGGTATAGAATACTGTGGTTTGTTTATTTGATGTTACTTGCTGCCCCGATAAGACATTAACTGCAAAGTCATCAGAAACTTTAATTACCTATTCCAAGATTTCTTGTTTTATTTCATCTACAGTAGAGGCAAAGGAAGCTGTACTTTGTACATCTGCGCTTTCATATTTAACTGTTAAGTCAGCAACACTAAAGATTGAAAGAACTGTTGTTGTTTCATCTGTCGTTTTTGATTTTCTGCAAGATTATCTAGAGCAGACGAAGAAAGGGTTGTAGTGAGTCCGTAAATTGCTTCTTGTTTGTGTGCTGGATTATCTAGAGTAAATGAAGAAATAGTTGTAGTTAGTACATTATACTTTTCTTGGTTTTCTGCTGAATCATCTACAGTGGATGAAAAAAGTGTTGTAGCTGGTTTACTAGTCGTTTCTTGGTTTTCTGTTGAATCATCTACAGTGGATGAAAAAATGGTTGTAGCTAGTCTACTAGTCGTTTTTTGGTTTTCTGCTGGATCTTCTACAGTGGATGAAGAAGTGGTTGTAGCTAGTCTACTAGTCGTTTCTTGGTTTTCTGCTGGATCATCTACAGTGGATGAAAAAATGGTTGTAGCTAGTCTACTAGTCGTTTTTTGGTTTTCTGCTGGATCTTCTACATTGGATGAAGAAGTGGTTGTAGCTAGTCTACTAGTCGTTTCTTGGTTTTCTGCTGGATCATCTACAGTGGATGAAGAAAGTGTTGTAGCTGGTTTACTAGTCGTTTCTTGGTTTTCTGCTGGATC